GGCGGGGGGCGGCGAAGCCGAGCCCCGGATGACGTCATCATCAAGGCTCGCGGGCTGCGAGGGGCCCAGCGGCCGGGGTGGCGGGGGCGGGAAGTGGTCAGGCAAGGGGTAACAAGCCAGAAGTGGTGCTGCAGAAAGTGGGCTGGGGGTTAGAGTGGAGGGGAGGGCTAGGATTCAGAGAGACCTCAACAAATTGGAGGATTGGGCCAAAAGGAATCTCAGGAGGTTCAATAGAAGTGCAAAGTCCTGCACTAAGGATGGAAGAATCCCATACTGGGCTGCACTGGTAGGTGTGTTCCTTGTAGGTCAGGGGGAGTGATTTTTCCCCTCTATTCAGTGCTGGTGAGGCCACATCTGGAGTACTCGGTTCATTTTTGCCACCTCCTCCCCTCCCCTCCCCAGCAACAGAAAGGATGTGGACAAATTGGAAAGAGTTAAGCAGAGGGCAACAAAAATGATGAGGGGGCTGGTGACATGACTTTTGAGGAGAGTCTGAGGGAACTGGGCTTATTTAGTTTGGAGAAGAGAAGACTGAGAGGGCATTTAATACCAGCCTTCAACTACCTGAAGGGAGGTTCAAAAGAGGATGGAGCTAGACTGTTCTCAATGGGGGAAGACATCAGAACAAGAAGCAATGGTCTCAAGTTGCAGCAAGGGAGGCTTAGGTTAGATATTAGGGAAAAAAATTCCCTCTAGGAGGGTAGTAAAACACTAGAACAGGTTACCCACGGAGGTGGTGGCATCTCTATCCTGGGAAATTTTTAAGACCCAGCTAGACAAAGCTGTGGCTAGGATGATCTAGTTGGGGATGCACCTACCTTGAGCGGGGGGTTGGACTAGATGACCTCCTGAGGTCCCTTCCATCCCTGATTTTATTTTCCGATTTCCCCCAGGGCAACTATGAATGAGGAGCAGTTTGTGAACATTGACCTGACGGATGACAATGTGTGCAGCGTGTGCAAGCTGGGCACAGAACAGGAGACGCTCTCATTTTGCCATGTGTGTTTTGAGCTGAACATCGAAGGTAAGGAGCCCATCTGGGCTAGCTCTGCCTGGGGAGCTTTCTGTCAAATGGCACCTTGTGCTGAGCCAAGAAGGAGTCCCATGAGAGCAAGGTCAGAGGGGGAGCTGGTACTTTCTGGGGTGAAGACCAAGATGAGCCCCCTCTCATAGCCCAGGTTAGATCAGTGACTTGATTATATATAGGGTCTGTGTTGTATCTGAGTTGAGAGTAATCTTATGCAGAGTTGAGATTATGGTTGTATCGGATGGTTTGGATAGGGATGATTTTGCTTCAGGGAGGGGGTTGGACTAGATGATGTCTGTAGGTCCCTTTCAGCCCTACTTCTCTGTGTCTATATCGCTATTATCTCGTTCTTCTGTACGCCATAGAAACCCTGGAGCCTTTTTTGCCTATCTAGAGAAGTGGTTCTTAACTAGGGTGCCCCGAATCTCTTTTAAAGATGTTGTGTAGCATTACCACTGCTAGGTGTCCAAACACCTGTGTATCACAAGATAAAGCCAAATATTTCAAATAGGAATTCAAAACGCCAACAATGTTCTGGTTTGTTGTGATCTTTCATTTCTTTTGCAACAGAAGATGGTAGTATTATTTTTTCTGTGGTCAAGGAAGGAGTGGAAGCTAAGAACTGGTATTTTCTCAGAGCTGCCTTGGGTCTAATGCAGTTGAGAACCACTGGTCTATAGTATATAGTTGGCAGCTTTACACTTGTAATGTAAACTATCCATTTCCCAAAGTTTGTAACTGAAAATTAGACAAGTTGTATGAATGTTTTCCTCAGATGCTTATTTAATATACAAAGCAGCTCTAGGGTATTGTTGTTCTTGTTAAATCTACAGAAAAGGGTATATCACTGCATTTTCAGAAGCTTTGCAGGCTAGCATTACCATCCTGAAAACTCTAAAGGAAATTATTTCCAAATGCCAAGAGAAAGAGTTAATTGATTTTGTAGTTTGGTAGTACCTGAAGTTCCCAATCAGAGGATTCTGTGTATTCATTTATTTTAAAGAGCTTCTAAGGCATCTGATCTTCTAGGACAGCACTTTCCTGATGCAGTCAGGTTAAAACTTCAGTTTCAATAGGAATAACATGGACAAACGTTTTCAGGGCAAATACAGTTTTATGCTAGGTGCTCATGTAGTACCAAGACAGTGGAGCCTTGGTTCATGATAAAGCTTCCAGGCACTACTGCTATTGAGATGCATTTAACTAAGCTAAAATGATTACAAAGGGTCTTATAATATAACGTGACTTAATCAACCTCAATTTCAAGATTCCTGTAAAAGTAAAATGCTGCTGGTAAGGGAAGGACTTGGTTTCATTTTGGGAGTCCGTGAACATTAACTCACAAGCATCCAAGTACGAGGTCCTTGGATTGTGTGCTAGAGTTGGAGGGGGTTGTCCTGTTTTGTGTTATGTTGTTTGTCTGTCTTTGGTCTGGGATTTTTTTTTTTCCCTATATACAAGGTAAATGCTGGCTTGAACAAAGAGTAAATTGCAGTGCTCCCTTGCATGTTGCAGATAAGTTTTATTTTAACTCAGCACAAACTTTGTAGCATCATGCTGCTTCAGGATCTAGAACATTACTTAATTTATATTTATTCATTCAGATCTACATGCATAGCTGCAGCAATCTAAATTGACAGGAGACAGCTGAATGTGAAGGTTGTCTACAATGTGGTACATAAACTAGTGTTGCTTTTGATGTTTTGTCAATGGTAACATCCACTGTAACTGATGGTATTAACATAGAGCCTTTTTGGAAGGAGTAGGGAACATCTTTTGAGGTATAATTGTTTCCAGTTTCTTGTGCTGACTTTCAATCAAAAAGAAATACCTAGAATTAGCATCAAACAGTATCATTTAAATTAACAAAAAAAAAAAGAAGATAAATTAGTATTTCTGTTCTGCATTTTGGTAATAATATGCTTATCTGCTTTTCTGATATAGACAAAACTTTCTACTCTATTTGCATCTTTTCATGATGGAATGGACAGTAGTTTTGAATATTAAAGTGTGCTGTCAGGCTATTTTTAAATCTTGTTGTTTTCATGTCTTTAAAATGTCATTAGAAATCTGCAAGCCTCAGGTTTTTTAAAGCTGCCATCCCAGAGAAAAACTTAAAATTCTATCTTGCCAAATACTGGGCTTTTTAGTGGGAGTCAAATACAGCCTTCAGCTACAGATGGTGATTTTTTGCTGCTAGAAGCATTGACACAGATAAAGCAGATGTCATATATGTTTGCTATGTTATGTTGCTTGGGTTGTACTCTAGCAAACTGGACGTATACACCATGGCTATTACTTCAACAAATACTGAAATTTCACGACTGGTGACTTTTAAAGATATTAAAGATTTCGTGAAGGAATCTAAGCACTATAGTCTTAGGGGTTCTTAAAGAAATAGCTATGTAGAGCACTAAGTTCTGCTTCAAGTTGTGTTTCAGTTCCCATTATATGTACCTGTATTAAAAATTATGGACTGGTCACCATAGTCTTAGAGTAGTTCAGTCTGTAATGGATTTCTGCCTTCAGTGTAACTGTATGAAATAAGGAAGTGCTAACACTCTATTTTTAGAGATGGGTAACTGAAGTGAGACATGGTAAATTACATGACTTTCCAAAACATCACCAGAGTTTCTAGCTGAGCCAGGAAGCAAAAGGTGGTTTCCTTAGTCCCAGTCCAATGCCCTGTCCTCAACATCCTTTCTAATTCTTGAAATGATACCAAGATTCAGGAAGAAAAAGACTGCTTAATCTACACACTAATAAAATGTTCTATAAACTTTCTTAGCTTAATTCAGTCTTAATAAAAGTTGTCAATAAGTGTTCTAATATACTCGCTCCTTGTACCAAAAATATAGGGAATTATGACTTGCCTAATACTCTGATTTGAATATTTCCAAAAGCTATGAGAGAGTGCCAAGAAATGTCATGGTTATTATTACTGCTCTTATTTGAACATAACAACTAAGTAACAGTTGTCAAATCTGCATATGGACTTAGTTTTTGTTATATTTGCTGCTGGCAAAGGGGTAAATAATTACCATTTGTTATAAAACCTGTTAGTTTCTGTTCTAGCACTGGAAAGAGAGAATGCATATGAAAGTTATGGTGATTTTTGTTTTGGCTAAATGTTTCAGGATAGATAGCTATGCTTATTGTTGTTTCTTAGTATTTTAGCATTCCCTGTGTCCACAGTAGCTTGTGCTGCCTTCACACACAATTTGTTTGCCAAAAGGTATCTTCAACTCCTTCATCTGGCAAAGGTCACAAACTTGTGCTTATGACCTTTAAATTATTTTCTTTTAAATTCTTCCCTTGGGAACATATGATCCTTGTTTTCTAGAGCCAACTATTCCAGATAACTTTATGAGAACAATGACACTTTTCTGGCTTGAGATTTAAGATGGTATGGGAAAATATGTGAAGTTTTAAAATGTATCCTAATTAAATAATACAGAAAATACAGCTAGGTGGCTGTACAAATTGCAGTTGAATTAGTGTTGAGTACTCTTGTGCCTTAGCAGAGCCCCATCTGTATCAGTGTTATTCCAAGCAGCTATAACAGTCTGTTTGTATGGATAAGACTGCATTCTTGAGGAACATGCTTAAGTTGAAGTAAAAACCTTTTCTAACTCTTAGGCTGCGGCTGTCCCAGCCTGTCCAGACTCATCAGGCTTCTTCCTGGGTTGGTGCAAAAGGTTTAGGTGTGTCTGAGGCTGCCTTTGTGTGTTTAAACATTCATTGGAATATTTAAAGTGTGCATAATTATGAGGATATCTGTGAGTGGTTTTACAAGCTCAGCATTGTCAATAAAGAAGAGATGTGTTAGATTCCCTTCATCTGCAAATCTTAATTCTAGAAACATTTCTACATTAACTTCTACTAATATTTTGTCCAACTGGGTGCCTCCGTAGATCTTGCTCGGCATAGAACTAAGGTTTAAAACTGCCACTTTGCTCTTGTAGATCCTTGTTGTGCATTGGTTGGCTTTCATATAAAGTAAGAAGAACATGACAGTTTGGTGAATGTGTGTGTGTAACTTTGGTCCTTTTTATGGATACAGGAATGCATAGACTTGTAGATTGGTTTCCTGTTTCACACATGAGGGGTAGGTTGCATAAATAAGTAAGGAAGTTGCGTGAGGCATGTCAGCATTACCACTTTGAAAGCTGCTGATGATGATGTGTGCATGCCTCAAAGGTCTCTGCTGGCATTCTTCTTCAAAGGTGGATGTTTTGCATATATTATAAAAGTAGTTTGAGTGGGTGCTTTTGTTTTTGTAAATCTGATAGTTTGAGTTGAAGTTCTATTTATCCACTAAAATGATGCTGGGAAAGTCTGTCATTTATCCCTACCAACTTTTTTCCTCCTAGGGAAGACTGCATATCAAGGTTAAAATAATTCAGCTGAAGTTTATTCTGTAGTTTGTCTGAGAATCAGTTGTGATGGCAGTCTTTGTGAGGGCACTGGTTCACTAGCAACTGGAGCAAGTTGTATAGACAACTCAAAAGTTAGGTGATAGCCAGAGTTTATATGTAGGGACTACATAGTATGACATACTTTTAGATAAAAGGGAAAATACAAAAACAGTTTTATAAAGATGAACATAGGTTTCCCAGGATGGAGTGGCCATAACGTTATTAGTGGGAATTGAATAATGACAGGTCTACAAATGCTCAGATTGCACATGTGTACATAACATCAGTGTAATTAGATCAATGGCAGTGTGTGTTTAACATGTCTGTGCTTTGCAACATCACACTTCAAACATCATGTCCCCAGAAACCATCACTGCATTGAACCTATTCCCAAACAAGTATAGGGACCTTTGCATTGGTGCCAGCCTCACAATATTCTGTACAGTTTTTCAAGTAGATTGCAGGATGTTTATATCTGAGGATAGAGACACATAAATAAGCTATTTTAAGTTTACAAGTAAACTTAAAGGCATCTCAACTGCAGTAACTAGCCGCGTGCATAGGATTAGCTACCATGGA